GAAGTTGAAGCGACCAGCCCCAGCAAGGGAGGAGAAGGTGTCACCGGAGGCCAAAGTTGCGAAGGCAGCCCAAGTTCAGGAGGAGGTGGACTCTCAGCCGACAGTCAAGCGCAACCTTTTCGTGGACACTCCTGCAGAGTCTCAAGCTGAGGCCCCAAAGGAACCGGCGCCAACGCCGGCGCCAGTGCCAACGCCTGTGAGGGCGCCGGCTTTGGAGGCTTTGGAGACAGCCGCGAAGGATGTCAGCGCTCAGCCTTCGGAACCGGTGACCGAATCCCAAAATGCTTTGCTCCTGGTTGCCATGCAGAGGATTACGGAACTTGAGGCCAAGTTGAAGCAGCAGGAGGAGAAGCAAACAAAAATGACGTCCTTCGAGACGCCTCCTCCCAAGACTCTCCATTCAATGACCCCTTCATCTACAACATCAGCCAAAACGGCCTCTGCTCCAGATTCTCAAGCAGTACACATGCTGTCCGCTGGCGACGAAACCAGTGAGAAGAATGATACTGAAACCAATGAAGATGGCGCAAAGGCGGAAGAGGGCAAGGACTTGCTCGAATTTCCAAATGGAAGCAAGCTGATGAGCCACGATGCTTTGAGGATGAGACTACGAAGACTTTGTCAGAAAACCAAAAAGGGCAAGAGTCACGTCGACGAGGACACCCAGAGCGCATATGAGAAAGGTGGCGAGGAGCGCGAGTGGCTGGAAATAGCTCTGATCGAGGCGATCTCCAAGGTTGGGGCTGACAACAGGAGTCACAAAGCGCTCAGAGTTTCTTGATTGCATCTCGGTGGTTTGACTCGTTGGTCCATTAGTCGCGCTGACTCTGAAGATCATGTCCCAACAAGTTTCTCATCCAATGTCCTCGGATCTCTGTGAATTATATATAAATCTGTTCGGCTCCAAGGCTGAATTTCGCAGCCGGGTGATTCTGGTGCGAGAGAGAATGACATCAAAGGAACAGGAGATCCTTGGACAGTGGATGACCAGGGAGAAAATGGAGAAGAGTGGTGACTTCAGCCCGTACCTCGCCCTCAAGAGTGTTTTAATTTGATTGCTTCCCACGTATACCCGCCAGTGGTGACGCGATGGATTGCAGTTTCTGAAATTTGGTTAAAAGTAAATTCACCATTTCTGCGGTCAGCATCTTGCTTTGAACACGGCCCAGGGAGACGATCGATGCGATCATTCGATATTGTGAGAGATTCCCTACAGCCCTGAAGCGGTATGCCTGACCTGTGTTTGAGGCTTGAACTTAAACACCTATGTGACGATGGACCAGAGTGGGTTATAGTTTGACCAGACTAGCACTAAAATTTGGCACACGCCTGGAAAAATTGGAGAGCCCACCAGTCCTATAGTAATAGACATGTTCAGAATATCTGTGCACGTGCCAGGGCTTGGAAATATGATGCTTCGGTTCCGGAATACTTTGTGGAAACGTCCACCAAGCAGACCATCCGTCAGACCGAGCTGCTGAAGCGCCAAGAAGCTGTTGATGCCACCGATGACGCTTCGCAGCATTATGAGCCACTCCAAACCAAAGTTCCTTGGGAACAGGTTGATCGGGTGTTGGGTTTCGAGTTGTGTTTTCTTGAAGTGGAAACAAGAAGAGCCAAAGCATCTGGTCTCGTCTTGCGGTCCCCTTCAACACTTGTCAGGAAAGCCACCGCATTAAAGTAAAGTTTGCGTGTATCAAAAAAACAACCACAGTCAACCCTCCACCTTGGCTTGGACACTTGTCAGGACAATCAGCCAGTGGAACCCATCAAGGTTGCAACCATGAAAGCGATCACCGAAGAGGGCTCGTCTCCAGCTGCTGAAAAGTTGGGGGACAAGGCAGGATCCCAAAAATCGTTCAAACAAACAGAACACATCAGAACACTATAATCACACGCATGCATGCATATTAAAATACGCTGACAGGAATTGATAATCTTGCCAGGTTCTGCCGGAGCTCGTTAAGTTCATGGATGCGATTCACAACAAGATGATGGCTGTTCAGTCCAATCTGGGGAAGCTTGAGATTGAAGGTGATGGGGCAACCAATCCGATGACAAAAGAGCCAGGGTCCCAACTGTGCATGCCAAGTGTTGAACTGGATATTGCAGCCCCACTTAAAACCTGATCCCAACTCCTGCCAGCCCAGGCTCATGAAGGATTGGGAGAATGTCAGGCTCAATTTGAAGGCCGTTTTCAGCAGCCTTGCGGAGCTCAAGGCGGACATCATGCTTGATGAGGGCTCCACGTCAGAGAAGTTTCTCTGCCTGCAACCTTACGGGGCCTAAATCCAACCGGTTGATACCTTTGGTAATCGTATCAGTTTGCTGTAGCCCCTTTTATCGACCCTTTGGGCTCACAAAAGTGCATAGATTTCAAATATGTTTCATTCTGGTCGCTTCTATTACTGTAGGTTCAATTGATGGCAACATATGGCAACTATCCATTTTTAGCGTAAGTCTCATTGATCATGCAGTTGTCTTTTCGCTGTCCATGAGCGCATTGGCGTGCAATGACGGTGGAGATGATGAAGACCTTTGGCTTCTGGAACTCATCGAATATAATCGTCAAGCCGCTTGACACCTAATATGTTTACCGGCCACTTTTTTGGACACAAAGCGGGTTGATCTTTCCTGTGGAGGCTTCCTTCCACCCATGATTGACACGCCCAGGCGCCAAAGACGACAGTTCCAGCTCCACAAACCTTGGCGCAGGACAAACAGGGCAAAACTCTCTTAGAGTGCTGCGTTTGACTATTGATATTTTTGGTAGGCACTTCCTTCCCTGAAAGGCACTTGCTGTTCCACAACCATGGTGTTCCCAGTTGGACGATGCCATACTCCAACTAAAACGGACTGCCGAGTGCCTGCAGAGAATACGAGATGACCCGAAGTTGGATTGCCAGCTCCCACCTAAGGGAAGTTCATCTGGAAAAGTTTTAGCCCACGCTTGCAACACCATCGACGATGTGATCAAACGAGCATGGCCTGTTGTGTTCAAGATTGGGTGGACACATTGCCCTTACTTCAGGTTCCGGAATTCAATTTACGGGTACGCCAGTGAGAGGCAACAATGGGAAAGACTTATTGTCCTGTACATCTCGGTGGAGCCAGTGGGGCCGTCGTTTCTGGAGGCAGCTTTAATTCAAAAATACAAAGGAACCTCGACTCATCTACAGCTATGATGTGTTTTCCACTTGATTCGGCTTTGGCCCCAAACATTACCCCAAAGTTGGTTTTGGCAGTAGGCTGCCTTTGTCACATGCCACTAAGGTATCCAAGGGTGTCGAAATGACCGCAGTGGTGGCGACACTGTCAGCGATGGCGCTTCCGGTGGTCCATTTTGTACATATTTGGTGTACCAAAGTTTCAAAAGGCCCAGCAACGCCCACCTAATTCGTAGCTGTGGTGGTTAGTTCACATGTAATTCACAAGCATAAACCTTTACAGGTGGTGCATCGTCGCAAAATTGACAAGCCACGGTGGATCGGAGGGGCTTCAGGTTTTTCATGGCCAGTGGAAAGACCACAGGGTATAGCCGTCGAAGATGGCCACCTAGGCTTCGTGATAAATTCTCGCAGCTGAAGGAAAAGTCAAAGAAACCGCAACTCGGCATTGAGTTCATGTCGCAGGTGTCTAGAGTAAAGCGTCATGTCAATTCCACACGCTCTCATCAAATGGAACCAAAAACTGTTCTCATCGCAATATGGAAAACCTTCGAATACCATGGCCCATTCTCTGTGCAAGGTCAGCTGACATGCTGTCCCTTGAGTCCAGGCAAAAGCTACTTGGCAGCCCCTTATAGCATAGAGTGGCTGTCCCATGGAAATCTGAGGAAATGAAACACAATTTCCATCCTGGTACCAAGGATGTTGCTGGCTACGATCAAGAAGGCTACTGTCAAACCTGGCAAGAACAACAAGTCGAGTGAGAACAATGAGAAAGAAGAGAAACCACAAGCCAAACCAAAGCCAAAGGGAAAGACAAAGAAATGAACGCAATCGAGTACTGAGGTGGAGAATCTTACCAGCAACTATAAGGTTTTCTTCATGATCGACTGCCATCTTGCAATTCTGGCAGTCACATTCCTTCCGTCACAACTGCCAAGGAGCTGCTCGAGGTGGAAAGATTCATTGTGGATCGCCATACCACCTCGATCTCAGTGGCTGAAAGCCGTGTTAGGTGGTGTGATGCCTTGAGGGACCCAATGTCAGTTGATTTTCAGTTACCTAGCAGTCAATCAACTTCAGCCAGCAAATGTTTATTTTGATCATGTTGGGTCCATTTTTGGATGGTATGTCCCCAGGATTTGTCAGTCCTGGCTTTTCATTTTCTAGGGGGAGTGTATCTGAAAGGATACACCACGCAGAACCCGTATGATCCATATATGGGTAGACAGCAGACTTGACCATGCGCCTCAATTTGGGCAAAGCGCGTGCTAGGACAAAACAGGAAAGGTGCTTGTTTTTGCTCCCGACCATTTCAGACCCATACACTCCCAACACCTGTAGAGGTGAAGATCGACAGTTCAACCCCAAGCTTTGTTTCAGATAAGAAGCTTCCACGCGCTCTTCCATGCCAGGTCCATCAGAGGCCGCATTGGATTTGGCATGGAGCTATGCCAAGGGTGCATCTCGTTTGCGATGTTTCGAGGTGCTTGTAGTGGACAAATGGTGAGAGAGTTTTGCGTTATGTTTTGAGCTTTGTGTAGCCGTAGCCCCAAAGTTGATGGCATCATGTTGTGTTCTTTCGAACCGGGGTTTGGCCAACTTCTTGACCGATCCATCCTAGGCCCCTTGCACAGACATCATTCAGAGGGCCAACTCGATCATCGCCTACGACGAACGCGTCGATGATCACCACTTGGAGCAAAGACCGGCCAAGGTCGCGCGGGTGTGCCCTGTGCTTTGGGATCTCAGGGATGGTGACCCTACAAAAGCTGAAACCTGAATTTGGTCCTTCAAGTTTTCCATTTGAATCATATATCACCAAACAATATACTCGCTTAAGGTGTTACCCTTCTGGCTTGGCAAGTGCAATCTTCATTCAATTTTTGGGCACCCCATCCTAGGAGGTGCTGGTGTCCAGGGCATTTCTGCGGCATGGTCTTCGATTTGATGTGCCTGTCTCAAAGGGGAAAGTTGGCCAGTACAAGGAGTACCCCTTCATAGCTGTAGCTTCCTGGATACAGACTTTGGACAAGGCTGGGAAGCTGGATCGCTTTTTGGGTATGGGACCTGAAGTTAGAAGATTGGCGGATGCTGGCCCATCTCTCTTGGAGTTCTGGAAACGATATAAACGCCTGTATCCAAATCACGAGGTCTTTAAACTTGTCGCAGAAAACGCTTTGAAATTGGAAGAGTGCGTCCCCTGCTACATGCATGGGGATGAGGGCACCACTTACAAAAAGGATGGGTGCCTATGTTTGAGCTTTCACTGTGCAATGGGCCGTGGGACTATTAGCAACAAGATGGGCCCTATCACACATGAAGTTTTGGATGACCCACATCTGAACTTTGTCGGGCATGCATTTGAAACGCGATTTCTCCTGAGCGCTATGCTTCGAGTAGTTTGGCTAAAATTGAGTTCCGATAGTTTGTTTTGTCTTCGCCGGCTAGGGGGCAAACTGTGTTTGGGAATCCTAGTCCACAGATCGAAGTGCTCATCCTAAAAGCCTCGTGTCTAAGGAGGATTACCGTGATGATCACAGTGTGATGTCCGACTTGCTGGAGGTCGTGGTTGGATCTTTAGACCATGCTTCTCGGAATGGGGTCCCTTTGGCGTCTGGTGGAAAGCTACACCCGGTATGCCTTGGAAACAAGGGCGACTGGCCATACTTGGTTTCTTGTTGCAGGTTCAATTGTTTTTGGTTTTTACATTTTGGGGATCACGCTGAAACAGTATACTACAGGGTATCGAACAAAGATCAATCAAGGCTACTTCCGCCAATTTAGTACGCAGCTACAGGAATGTGCCAAAAGCTGCAGCATCCAAGAAAGATTGCACCGGAATCTGCCACTTCTGTCTTAGTGGGCGCCCCCATTATGACTATGAGGGTGTGTGTCTTGGTTGAAACTTGTTCAGTGTTCTTAGTGTTCCTATGCTTATGTTGGGCCAAAACTTAACTTGGTGTTTGAACTTGTTTAGCAGCGTCCCCCAAGGTCGGAGAACCCAAACTTCTACGCAACTATGCACGCTGAGTTTCCTTGGGAGGAAGAAGCGGTCTTCACTAGGAAATTGATGCACGAGTTTGACAAAAAGGCTGCATTTCATAAGGTCGACATTTTTCACACTGTTAGCCTGGGGGTCGGAAAAGCTTGGGCAGCATGTGGCTTTGCTATCCTACAGCAAGTGTGTCCTGGGACATCTATCGAGAAAAGGCTGCAGGTTTTGTCAGACTTGTACGTCGAGTACTGTGTGGATCCCCAACCTTTGGTTGACGCAATTTTTGTTGGGCTTTGTGTGTTCTTTTTTCAGTGGGTAAACTCGATCCAAACTGAAAGCCTCCTTCCGTATTGCTAAGGAACACAGGAAAACCAGCTACGTTCGGAAGGTGGATCGCTCTACGCTTGGTTGGAAAGGTTCGGAGGAACCGGTCGGTGGTTGGAGCAAAGGGGCTTTGACCACTGCGCTGTGCCAGTTCCTGGAATACTTTTGCCAGCTGAAGGACTTGGAATCATCAGTTCACGAACGGTTCAGGCTGATAGTTCCCTGGAGGTTTGTTTAGGCTTCCTTTGAGCAATTCCTTCAAAGTTTAGGGGTCCGCAACTTGAGTTCTTCTCTACTGTGTGTCATCAAGTAAGGCATCCGGAACCAGAGCTTTGAACTTTTGGATGTCCACTTTGTACAAAAACAATTTGTGGATTAGTTCCACAGATGCTGCGCGAATAAATTCGGCTGCCAAACATTTTCTACACGCCTACTCCCGGTTGGCTTTTGTGAGCTTTCACGGCTTCAAAGAAGCCAGGTACAGCATCACCCCAAAGTTACACATGTTTTGGCATCTTTGGCGTTCAATGGTGGACCAAACACACATGTCCAATTTTGTGGAAAACCCAATGAGTCAAAGCTGCAGTACAGACGAAGATTTTATTGGGAGGTTTTGTGTACTGACAAGGTGCACAAACCCACGTACGCGAATCGTGCGGAGCATCGAGCGTTACTTGACGCAGGTGCTGCTCTTGTGGATGCATCCCAACCGGAGGGGGTGAGAGGGAAACTGCAGCTGATGGCGGGGAGTGGTGTGCCTGGTGAGGTGTCCAAAACCCGGGTGGAAAAGGCGTACCCGTTCGACCCTGTAAAAGCCCGTGCGGACCTGTAAAATCTAGACAGGATTCCAAATACAGTTTGTATTCCCAAATGCTAGCTAAATTTAAGCCTGCAAAGCTATGCAGGTCTATACTATATAGCCTATATAGCCTAAGACTCAAAATGATGGTTTAGTGTTCTTGTGTGTTTTTCAATATTTTTCATATGTTTTCCATGTTTGAGGTATATAGTAGTATAGGCCGACATATATAAGAAAATATCCTCTCTAAAGCATTCTAAACAAGACCACCGTGTTGCACCAGAAGAGCTTGGTCATCCATCTCCCCCGTCCGCCGATAGAGCCGCACCATGATCCGAATGAGGCGCAGAATGGACGCGGCGCGGCCGACGAAGGTGCCCGAGTTGAGAAACGGGAAGACGGGCGCCCTCGCCCCGCGACCCTGGCCGGACCACTGAGGATCACCACGTTGCAGCAACCATTCCCGACAGACCTCGCTGGACGTGATCGAGCCTCGACCGCTCCGCGGGTACGGATACCGCCACTCCTCGTGGTAGTCGGCCGCCAGGGCGGCACCGCGGGGAATGTGGAAATGCCAGGTGCTGTTGCGGTTGCCGCGCGGAATGGGCTGCTGGCGATGCCGGCGGCGGCGCGGCAGGTGGAAGCTGCCGTTGTGTGGCCAGGGCCAGCAATTCATCTCCCCCCCGAAGACGACCGGCCAAACGCCATGGGCCTGCGCCGCGCTTTTGGCCAGGCGCTCGTAGGTGTGGACCACGTCGCGGATCGAACGCTGAAAGAGCACGTCGAAGGCATCGACGAAGAGCACGGTGGTATTGGGCGGCATCTTCTGCAAGGAGCGCGACAAGAGCACATACTTCTTCAAGAAGACATCCAGAGAGCTGTTCCGGTGCAGATGTTTGTTGGGCAGCTGGATTCGGCGGCCCTTTTGCAAGCCCAAGATCCGCAGGAAGCCGCCGGCCATCTCCACGCTCCGCGCCACGTGACACATCAGAGGCCCCATGGCCCCGAAGCGATCCGCAAAGGTCAACACCTGTGGAGCACCTGATTTGAAGATCAGCGGACTTGGATCGCCCCACGCTTCCACCACGGTCTGCCAAAAGGAATAGAATCGATCGGTGCCGGTGCTTCGATTGGTACCCCGAGCACCCGTCAGCAAAGCAAAGAGCCAAATGAAGCGCCAAGCCATGGCAGGGCTGTTGTTCTACGTCCTACGTCGACACGGACTTTGCATGCCGAAAAGCCCTCTCCGGACCAAATTTGATCCAGGACTTACGGTCGTGGGGCAGAAGGAGACATTGGTGGGTTGCTCACCCGACCTTCAAGAATCTATATATCTTCATGGCCTCTAAAAATCTTCTATCCATGGTTCATTGGTTTTAAAGTCAATGCACGGAAGCGTGGACTTCGAACAAAGAGATACCAGTACCTTCTTTTCCTCTCCGTTCGCAGTGCCAGGCGTCCAGGTTCCTTTGACGTGAACACCTCACATCGCCTCACATCGCCTCATACCTCATCGATGATTTGCGTCGGCTTCTCTGGCTCCTCAACTGTGGACACAGAAGCACCTGCGTCTGAATCATCTAGATCCTCTGCTGCGAGTAGAGCAGTTTGAAGCCTTTCACTCTTCTCCAGCGCTGCCCCACCTTCGCTGGGCGTCATTTTCAACACGGGCGCTGCTGGCACTGCTGGTGCTGCTGGCTCTTGCTCAGCGCCAGCGCGTGGGGCACTCTGAGCATTGCGGGGCACCTCCTCTTTCGGCGGCCGCCGACATGCCTCCTCCCGCCCCGTTCTCCGGGAGATGAAGGGCCATCGAATCACTGGGGGAGGGCGGACCGGTGTGCTGGCTGCCGTCTGAGCCATCTTGACCATGCGCCAGAGCGCATGATTTTCCGTGGCCATGGCCTCCACCAAAGCTTCTCGCTGCAGATCTGCGAAACATTCCAAGGAGTCGTGCATGATGGACACCAGTTCTGCAATCCTTGTGCTTTTGCGCGCCCGCTGCCGTAGCAGTTCCTCCCGCTGCTCGGAAGCATCGGAGAGGCAGGCAATGAGCTGCTTGGTCTGATTCTGAGCCATGGGGAGCTGTGCTGCCTGGGCGCGTAGGCTCTGGACCTCGGCGAGCACCGCCGAGAGCGCCGCATCCGAGGCGCCGAGCTGCTCTGCGAGCACCTCATTGTCATGAATCAAGGCGCTGGCAGCTGAGAGCGCCAAGTGGGTGTCCCCCTCGTTCTCAGACTCAGACGGGCTTTCCTCTCTCAACGGCGGGGGCTCCCAAGTGACACGGCCGGGCGCCTCCGTCATCTCGAGAGC